AACCTTAGAGCTACATATTTAGATCACTTAGCAGATGAATAAGTCCACCATATAATTTACAAAGCCAGTCCTCACTGTCAAATTAACCAACCAAATCAGATGTATTCTGTGTCCGAAAAAAACACTTTCATTTATTTCTTTTTTTTTTTTCATTTGAATAAAGATGTGAATACATGTTCTCATGGCAACCCTCTCACTTAAGTAGTCTAGTAAAAAAATAAATGGACAGACAGCAGATGGAGAGACAGACAAGCAGACAGGCAGGGAGGTGGACTGCGCTGTGCCAGGAGCCTTGCCAAGGTGAAATACTATTTCACTATTTTTTACCAATGCATTTTTACCTTGCTTTCAATGAGTCTCTCTAAAGTAATGCATTCACAAACTTTCATTTTGTTTGATGCCCTGGAGATTGTACCCCAGGGCCATACATAGTAAGATTTGGGCTAGGTGAAAGCTCTGTCATCTTTTCTGAAGTGGGAAAAGGGTGGTCATTATAGAGGAGATGGGGAGGATGACGCAGCCAACCACAGACTCTCAGACATATCAGTTTCAGGAAAATGCACATACAGAAGTTGGCACTAGACCAATGAGCTACTCTACTACATTCTCCAGTGAAGGATACATCAAGGAATGTTTTCCCAAAATAGACAAGAAAATAAGTAAAAAAAAAAAAAAAGCAATTAAAAAAAGAAAAAAAGTAGAATAAAAGTATTAAACCACATTTCTTATAAATGTGGAAAATAAAAGCTCTCCTTGTAAGTACAGAAGTAGATGAAATAGAGGCAATATCACATCAAATGTGAAACCTGACTCCCACTAGCACCTATGTTTGGATAAGCATCTTGCTTTTAGGATTTGTGACTCAAAAATTTCACATGGGTTAAATCCTTCATTTGCAGTGGTTCTGTTTCTTATTTAAAACATTAAGTTTTCCTCAGACCCCATTCTTCAGTGAATCATATGATAGAGAAGGAAATGGAGAATCTGAAGCAAAAAGTAAAGGGGATGTGGCCAATTTCTACCATTTGGGATACTAACAAGTTTAACATGGCTCAGCAACTATCTTAAGTGTTATATCATAACTATTTTAGCTTATGCCATAACTATTATGGCATAAGCTAAAGGTGCTGAAATATTATATAAGGAGTGTGTTTTCTGAGAGGAAATGGGTGAAAATTTGAAGGGTCATTTTTTTAACAGGAGGAATACATAAGAATTCAGAACAGATTCTCAACCCATGCTAATGTTCAATAATGTTTGCGCAATGTAAGAAAAGTTTTAAATCTTTTTTTTTAACTTCAGAGAAACTACTGTTTCCTGTTATTTCTAGAAAATCGGTAAATGCTGGTGTTTTAAAAGAAGAACATTTATGGAGAGATATTAAGTGTGTTTTAACTATAAGTATCAGATCCTTATTTATTTCCCCTAAGAAACTCTGTAATTCTGTTTTAAATAAATGGCTTTTTCTTTTCTTTTCTTTTCTTTTCTTTTTGAGACAGAGTCCTACTCTGTCATCCAGGCTTGAGTGCAATAGCATGGTCTTGGCTCACTGCAACCTCCGCCTCCCAGGTTCAAGTGATTCTCATGCCTCAGCCTCCTGAGTAGCTGGGACTACAGGCACACACCACTACATCTGGCTAATTTTTGTATTTTTAGTAGAGAAAGGGGTTTCACCATGTTGGCCAGGCTAATCTCGAACTCCTGACCTCAAGTGATGTACACAACTTGGCCTCCCAAAGTGCTGGGATTACAGGCCTAGGCCACCACACCCCCAGCCAATGACATGTACTCCCAATTAAGGTCTCTGCCTTCTCATTCCCCCAAATCAGCAACCCATGGGAAGTATAGGACTTCTGGAATTTTCTCCACCTAGATAAATAAATTTCTGGTAAAGACTTTCCTTTCTTGAATAAGATCCAAAATCTTCAGAATACACTATCTGAATGAACTATTTCAGTCAGAAAGTCCAATGTGCTGCCTATTTTATGGCAAACTGTTGGAATCTTTAAAATAAAGATTCTGAATCTATGCAAAAACTTTTTTTTTTTTATTGATCCTTTTTTTTTTTTTTGAGGGAAAAAGAGAAGAAGAAGGGGAAAAAAAGAAAAAGAGGGAAAAAGGAATATTACTTCATTCCTAAAATGGGTTTCAATAATGGCCGATCAATATTTTGAGTGTTTAAAGTGGTTAATGCATATTTTATGTGTTTAAAATGGAGACCTCTATTGTGTTTATTTGTTCTGGCTCTGAGTTCAAGTCCTGGATATCGTTATCAATTTGTTGTCTCGTTGAATCTAAATCTCATTAAGTGTCTTATGTATCTGGGTGTTAAGATCTCTTATTGTTGCATTAATCCTTTTACCCTTGCATCCTTGTAGCTTTGAAATCTATTTTATTAAGTGTGAGAATTGCAACTCCTGCTTTTTATTTATTTATTTTGCTCTCCATTTGGTTCGTGAGTTTTTTTCCATCCCCTTGTTTTGAGTCTTTGTATATCTTTAGATATATCGTTAGATTTTGTGGATAATGTATATTTTGTGTGTTTAAAATGGAGAGCTCTATTGAGTTTATTTGTTCTGGATCTTAGTTCCAGTCCTGGATATCGTTATCAATTTTCTGTCTCGTTGAATCTAAATCTCATTATGGGTCTTATGTATCTGGGTGTTAAGATCTCTTATTATTACATTAATCCTTTTATCCTTGTATCCTTGTAGCTTTGAAATCTATTTTGTCAAATGTGAAAATTGCAACTCCTGCTTTTTATTTATTTTTTTTGCTCTCCATTTGGTTGGTACGTTTTTTTTTTTCCAACACTTTATTTTGAGTCTATGTATATCTTTGGATATACCGTTAGATTTTGTCTGTATCTTTTGATTGGGAGATTTGGTCGATTTAAATTTAGGGTTGCTGCTGTTTGATATTAACTGGCTATTTTGTCCTTTTGTTGATAAAAATTCTTCTTTATGTTAATGCTCTTTACTTTTTGGTGTATTTTTAGAAAGGGTCATACTGGTTGTTCCTTTCTGTGTATAGTGCTTCTTTTAGAAGTTCTTGTAAAGCAGGCCTGGTGGTAATAAAATCTCTGAGTACTTGCTTGTTCCTAAAAAATTTTATTTTTCCTTCAAATGTAAAGCTTAAATTGGCAGGATATGAAATTCTGGGCTGAAAGTTCTGTTGATTAAGTATATTGAATATTGGCCCCCACTCTCTTCTAGCTTGTAGGGTTTCCGTTGAGAGATCTGCTGTAAGCCTAATAGGCTTACCTTTATGGGTAACTTGATCTTTCTCTCTGGCTGCCCTTAATATTTTCTCCTTCGTTTCGATCTTGGTGAATCTAACGATTATGTGCCTTGGGGTTGGTCTTCTTGAGGAATATCTTTGTGGTGTTCTCTGTATTGCCTGGGGTTGAATAGTGTCCTGCTTTGCTAAATTAGGAAAATTTTCCTGGATAATGTCCTGGAGAGTATTTTCCAGCTTGAATTCATTCCCTCCGTCACATTCAGGTACACCAATCAAGTGTATATTAGTTCTTTTCACATAATCCCATATTGCTTGGACACTTTGCTCATTCCTTTTTATCCTTTTTTCTCTATTCTTGTCTTGTCGTTTTGTTTCATTAAGTTGATCTTCGACCTCTGATACCCTTTCTTCTGCTTGATCCATTCGGCTGTTTAAGCTTGTACATATTTCACTAAGTTCTCGTGTTGTATTTTTCAACTCCATAAGTTCATTTGTATTCCTCTCTATATTGTCTATTCTTTTCAACATTTCATCTAACCTTTTTTCCAAGTTCTTAGTTTCTTTACATTGGGTTAGAACAAGTTCCTTTAACTCCCAGAAGTTTCTTATCATCCACCTTTTAAAGCCTTCTTCAGATAATGGAACACAGTCCTTTTCCATCAGGGCTTGTTCCGTTACTGATGAGTCCTTTTCCATCAGGGCTTGTTCGGTTGCTGATGAGTCCTTTTCCATCAGGGCTTGTTCCGTTGCTGATGGGTTCTGATTTTGAGTATACACGGCCTTCTTAGGCTGTTTTTTTCCCTTCATTGTAGATGAACCGCCTTTCTAATTAGTTTTCTGAGTCGACGTCCGACTTATTGATTCCCAGTGTTGGGATCCGAGCAACCCACTGTGGCGGCCTAAATAGCAGCGATAAGACTGATGGTGCTCTTCTGCCTGGGAATCTCTGGTCTGGCTTCCCTCTTGAGTCCGCAACAAGCGGCTCTGACTTCCCGGAGTTCCAAACTCCGGTCAGTAGGGGAAGCGGTCCCGTTGGCTCTGCATGAAGAGCTGCTGCGCCGAGACGCTGGCAAAACCGCTGCGGCGGCCACAAGAGTCGCGCTGGAGACCCGTGGGGCTCCTCCACTGGGAATCAGCTGATCGGTGAGTGACGAAAATTCGTCCAAAAGTGTGGCATCATCTCGTTCTCTGGGCTTTCACTGGGAGCTACAATCCTGAGCTGTTAGTGGTCGGCCATCTTGGATCCTATGCAAAAACTTTTAACCTCATATTACATTTTGCTTACCTATGTAAAGGTACGTTCCCATATTATATTCAATACAGGTACTTCCCTTTATTGCAAAAATATAATCTACTTGGTTGAAATTATTCAATGTGAAGGATATACATGAAGAACTTTTCATTATGTTCCAATAAATATTTAAGGCCATCATTTGAAGATTTAAAAAATCAGTAACTGCATAAACATTTCTATGCTTGCCAAAATCTCTTTCATAGCTCTGCTAAGCACCACGGTTATTGATATGAACAAGTTAATCTTGGGTATTTTAAAGATCCAAGTAGTGTAAAATCAGCCAGTCTGTCACACTGGTAATTTATCATGAAATCAATAATCACTTTTGTTTTGTGGGGGATAAATGAAAATAGAGAAAACAAACAGAAGAAAATTCAGCAATGGAAAGATTCTAAAATGAACGAGCAATAACTAGTTTGTTGCCATCTGTGATATAGTCATACCTACAAGTTTTCAACATACTTACTTAAACAATGGAGTTCCACAAACAACACATTTATATATTCCAGGATCTTTGTGATGTGTGTATTCTCCTTCGAAGGCACTGATAAATAATAAACAGATCATTTAAAAAATCAAAGTTAGCACTATTTCTTACAGAATGTGTTTGCTTAAAATACATTTCTCTAATAAATCTTTCAAGGGCTTTTTGTCCTAAAATGAGAACAAACCAAACATATGGAAATCTGAACTTTACTAATATATTTCAAATCTATATAATAAAATGTACATATAACCACTCCAAACTAGTGCAGGTTACATAAAAAAAAAATCAAGCCATCTAGTTATGTAATGCCTAGAAAAATATTTTTTTCCCTATTTAAAAAAAAAGCCTGTAGTTTAGATTCACAGAAAGACCATTACATAAGATTTTGCTACTTTACAGTGTGCAAGAGTATATATCAGAAAATGCAGACAGGTCCAAGACTTCAAGTGGAAAGAGTCTTATTTTTTGGTCTGAAAAGGAATATTGCAGCTTTAAGGGAATATTTTTCTAAGTTAACAATCTTAAAGGCTAGGAGGTCATTCAGCTAATACAAATCAGCTGTGCTAGCCCAACAAAAAGTCTATGTGCTCTGCAGCTTGTTTTTATTATCCTTTCACCCTCTTTATGAGGTCCAATTTTTTTATAAACAGAATTTTTAAGAATGACCTAATCTCTGGTTGTTTGTGTGCATTAAATCATTTTGCTAGTCATGTACACAACAGAACGGATAGAAATCCTTGCAAGCTGAGACTGAAGTCCACTGCTAGCTCATTGTATGCTAAGGGTGGACTGCAACAGAGATTCAGCATTTGGTAAATTCAGTAAACAGCAGATACTGTGACAGGAAGGGAGTGTTGCCTATTAACAGGGATCCCATGTGTAGCAGAGAGCTCTTTCAGTTCATGAATGAAAACAAGAAGTTACATCATTAATAAATTTGGATCAGGAGTAAGCTACGGTCTTACGCCAAGCTCCATGGTCTAAATTAGACAACAAAGTCATTGGACCTTGGCAAGTTACCTTTGAGCTGAAATCAGCTGAGAGAGGCTTTATTCACTAAAAACAGTCTTGGAAGTGAACAAACTCTTTTTTTCCGGACTTAGGGCGAACTTCCAAGGACCAAAGCCATGTGAGGGCAGTTATTGAAAATTTTTGACATTCCAACCACAAATGAGCCAATAAATACTTTCTCCACATGTGCTTCAAAAAGAAATTGGAGTGGGGTAGAAAAGAACTAAATTATGCTACCTTCTTTTTGCAGCCAAAACGTCTATACTTACAATGGCCACCTTCAAAATTTCAGCATCCTGGCATAGTGCCAAGTCCCTCATGGTTTTGCTTACTGTGATGTCTTCCCAAAAAATGTACCTAAATCGCTATTACTTCCACACATTTTGAAGTAAACTAAAAACAGGCCCTTAACAAAAGCTTTGTGACTTTACATCAGATATGTAGTGTTCATTAAATGGAGAAAAAAACAAGTAGAACTCAGTCTTAACCTAAACAATACCGTTTCAACCTTTTCAAGTATACAATTTGTAGACTTTAGCAAGTAAGTATAAAATTCTCTAAATTAATTGGCAAGGAAGAGGATTGCAGGGGGCAGGAGGAGAAGAAATCTAGCTCTTACTTAATGACTTTTTATTAAAGCTCACCTTACCTTTCGGTCCCTTTCTCCTGAGTGACATGGTACTGCAGGGGTGTTAGCCGCTTCCTCAGTTCCTGCTGGGAAAAGACCACCTTACAGTTCTTTTTATCCCTACATGACCCTGAAAAGAGAGAGGATATGGGAGAAGAAGGCTTTTTAGCTTGAATCCTAAATAATTGCTTTGGCTGGCCGCCACAGCACAGCTTCTGCAGTCACTTGTCCAGTCTCTAATGCACTGGAAATGCTTACCTGAACTGCAGGTCATTATTTCTCTAAGTTTAAAAAGAATGTTTCTTAAAATTCAGATGATTCCACTGGAGCAGTGATAATATGCTATTGCCAAAGTCTCTAGCATACGATACTAAAACCTCACTGATCATTCACAAAATACATCCTTTATATCTCCCAGTATCTTGAAAACCTTTTTTTTTCAAAGAGATTCAAAAACATAAGTCTATTTACAAGCATTTACACTGTATATATAAAATGGTGGGCATATTAAGTTAAACATAAGTCTGCAATAATTTTGCAACTTAGTAGAATAGCCTAAAACCATTCAAATTCAATTTCCATTCTGGATGATTTAACTACCATCGTATGTTTTGAACCCTAAAAATATATTTTTCTATGACCAGGAATGGCTGTCATTTTTCTATGACCAGGAATTGCTGTTCTCCATGATTCCATCAGAAACTTCACTAGATTCTGTATACATAACTCTCTCTTTAACACTGTATCTTACCATGTGAAATAGGCAGCAAGAAACTTTCAACAAACTATAGGAGAAGGCACTTTCACTAATGTAGATTCAAGAAGTTTCAAAGAAAGTGAGAAAAATAGAAAGGGGAAAGACAAAAAAAAAGAAAACGTGAATATGATTTTTAGAAAGCTACATTTCCTTTTTGCAAAGTATATCTAGGAAGACTTCACTGATTAAGTGTATTTGAATAGTGAAATAATTTTAATGTGATTCTAATAACAATGGCAGCTTTTATTTCAACCTATACAGCCTGCAGTAAAATGTTCAGACAACACCTGTTTATATGCAGTATTTTATTTTACCTGAGCAAATGACTGAAAAGAAATATAACTCCAGGACAGGGCAGCCATTACTCACTGCAGTAAAATTGCTTTTCTTTGCCATCCATCACAGTGGGAAAGAAATCTGCAGATGGTCCTAAATGTAAAGAGTTCTTGCCACGTTTTGAAATTACTAGAAGAAAGCTTGCTTAGTTTCCTAAATATTAAATTCAACTCCTTTTGAAATATGAAGAAATACAATTTAGGAATGGAAATGTTTCCCACTTTTTTTACTTTCAAGGAACCTAATGTCATAGTATGAGATCACTGACCTGAAACTAGGAAAACATTATCTAGCCAGTTACCCTGACTGTGGGGTTGAAAAGGGATATCAGCTTGCAGAATCAGGGCCACCAAGATAGAGTGGCTGATTCTCCACAAGTGGAAATGGAGGCAGCAAAAGAGCAAGCCAGAGCCAAACAGCAAGATATACCTTGGAATGGGCCTGCAGGTTGTCAGACAGCACCTCTGCTGACCTTCCACAAATACTTCGGCCCTTCCCTGGCCTGGAAAGATCCACAGGCACAGCTGGCATGTCACTAACAGCATGTTGATCTCTCATCTCACTGGACCCTGTCTTACCCTAGGCTTTAACCAAATACCTACAACTTGTATTTTTGCTGTTGTTGACGGGTTAAGTAGAAATGTTTCCCTGAGAAATGTCTGTCCTGTCAGAACAAGCCTCTCAATAGCTTGAATGCAGAGTGGCTCTTTCTTAAATAATAAGTCCACAGTGATAGGTGCGTTTCTGCTCAATTCAGTACAGACGTCTTAAAAATTGTTTTATTTTCATTTATTTGTTGGAAGAGTTGTCTCTTAGTTAACATTGTCACAAAAACATTAATTGCAAACATAACATGAAAAAACAACTTGGTTAAAATTGTTCTTTCCAATGGCATAATTAAAATATTTACAATTAAAATCAAACAATTCTATCCAAAATATTTTTGTTAATATATGTTCATTCATACAAAAAGACCAATTGTGTTCCCAAAGTTGAGAGAACTAAGCTACCCATCTGTATGTCATTTAGTACAAGAGAAGCAACTGCAGGTTTAAATTACATGGTATTGGATTGCAATTTCCTAACATTGGATGCTTTTCTGCTTTTTTACCTTGAGTCATTTACTAAGGAGTGTTCATAAAAAGTAGCTTAAAGCACAGATGCTTGAAAATCGTTTAGGCAAAGATGTTTCTCTCTTTTTCATTCTCCCTCTCTCATGAATCTCTCTTTTCTGAAGAAAGAGAATAAAACTGTTGGTCAGTATTGATGAACCATGTCAAGTATTTGTACAAGAAAAAAACGTAAAATTGAAAACATCTGATTGAAGTAAATAATACAAACATAAAAGCCTTACTAGTGAATGAAGGGTATTGAAGAGACTTTATTTCATAGATTAGAAATCACTTTTGATCTAAACATTCTTAAAAACAGATTGTTTTCCACTATGAAACATCTCATTAACTGTGCTACAGAGACCTGGTTTTAATGGCAAGCCTTGAAAGAGTGCTGCTGTATTCCTTTGTTGGTCTCCGTCTTATTTGGGAAGGGAATAAAGATTTCATTCCAGCTTTCTTTGTTTGTCTTTCAAGAACCACTAAAGCAGTATTCACACAAATTTTGTAGGAATGTGCCCTATGTCATAGCCTACAAATTATTTGGTTTTGGTGCACTTAAAGGTCATCTTCCAAATTAGCAAAATTTTTCTACATCCTGGCTTTTCAACCTTAAATATAAATATTGTTTCCTAACTGTAAGTGAGGTTTGTCCTTTAAGAAATAACTAGTGATTATTTAAAGTTGTCAAACTTTGTAAGTTTTCATTCTTTGGTTATACTATATTCTCAAAATAATTAGGTTTTTAAAGTATGTCTAGTACCGAAAGGAAATATATGTAGACTAGAAACAACTATTGTGACTTTACATTAAGCAACTCAACGAGAAGTTAGTCAGATTTTAATAAATGTCTTGCTACACCATTTAATAATAATGTACCTCCTGGACAACTGAAAGCTGTTAATATTACATTAGCTCTTCTATCATCAGAACCAAATATTGGCATATATAAACACAGAAAAGCTTCACTTTGTTTCTGATTTCCTTTTTTCCTACCAGAATCACTTTTCTAAAGTCATATGGTGCCACTGGTAATCTTGAAAAAATCATTTCATTTTGAAATTCTATAGTAATTCACTGGACGGTTTCCCTTTACTATCTTCACTTAGGTACTGTAATTTTCTTATTACACAGGGTAATTTAACATTAGTATTATATGACATCTGTTCCATGACCTCTAAATTGGCTTAGTAGTATGTTTGGGAAAGATTTTTCCTTTTATTTAAATATTTAATAGAGTCTTTTGAAGGCACAAGTGAGTATGTGTTTACACATGTAACACAAGTACGTATTTGAGGAGATAATACTGCCATTTGGGTATCTAATCATAACACCATTCCCTACAGAGCAGCTTTGGGATAAATCAGATCCATCTTGAACCCAGTCCAAGTGTATTTTATTTATTAAAATATGCCCAAAGTCTATTTTTATATCGAGTCTTGTCCTGTGTTGTTGCCTTAAGGCCAGTATTGTTTCAAAGCCCCAATATGAAGCTCCTGCTATTAGTACAAGTAAACGTACAGCAAGAGTTTGCTTTCTGGCTCTGCCTGCTTCCCAGCTACGTGACCTGAAACAAGTCAGCTTCGCTATGTATTGCCATCCTCACAGATCTCCTGTAAGGATCATAGCCATTAGCACTTACTTCATTTTGATTACAGTGAATTCTGAGGTTAAATTGTCTTTTAAAAGATAGCCAGGTCCAGTATTTCAGTGTGCTGCAACCTTTTTATTGGTAATTCTTTTTCTGCAATATTTCCCTGGGAACAGTATCTTCCTCACACTTTGTCTTTTTTTTTTTTTTAATAGTTAAAGTGGGAAGTGAAGGAAGAAAATAAAACTAAAATTTGAGTCCTCCTACATGCCAAGTGCATGTCTAGGCACTTTTGCATAAATACACTTAATCCTCTCAATAATTCTAGAAGGTGGCTGTCATGCCTGTTTTACATACACAGAAACTGAGGTTTGGTGAGGTTATAACATACCTTTCTAAGGACAAACAGCAAGTAGACATATCAATTCAAACCCAGGGCTGTATGACTGCCCTAGCCATATTTTCTTTTTACTAATCGTATACTTTTTCTTTTCTTTTTTTTTTTTTTTTTTTGAGACAGAGTCTCACTCTGTCACCCAGGCTGGAGTCCAGTGGCATGATCTCAGCTCACTGCAACCCCCACTTTTCAGATTCAAGTGATTCTCCTGTCTCAGCCTTAGCCTCCAGGGTAGCTGGGATTACAGGCACCCACCACCACACCCAGCTAATTTTTGTATTTTTGGTAGGGACAGGTTTTGCCATGTTGGCCAGGTTGGTCTCAAACTCCTGACCTCAGGTGGTCTGCCCACCTCAGCCTTCCAAAATGCTGGGAGTACAGGCTTGAGCCACCACACACCCAGCCAGTCATCATATTTTCGATCAGGAAAAAATACATTACAACTTCCTTCTTTCTTCTCTAACTATACAACAGTTTTCAGCTTAAAAACTAACAAAATAATAAGGGGGAAAAAGCAATAATCACCTCAGTACATCAGAAAAGTTACATACATTTATCTATTAGCCAATGTCTCTTTTCTCTGTATTTACTCCTTCAACAGGGTCAGTGACAGGTTTCACATGGGATTCTCACAAAGTCTATAAAACACTGAAAGGCTTTTGAACTTCCTGTTAAGAAGTAAATTAGATCTGTTACCTAAATCTTACAGTAATTTTAAGTCATAAATTTTGTATTTTGGTGTGAAAAATCAAAACAAAACCTAAGGATCCCATAACTTTAATTTTGGTTCTTGGATCAGAAAAAATGAAAACTATTAAATATTTTCCCAAGATAATAAATGAATAAGAGATAAGAATATCTTGTTTTGCTTTGAGTTTAGTAGGTTAAAACAGTAAAGTTCATGTTGAAATGTCTTCCTGTTATATTTAAATGTGAC